AAAAATCTAAAAAATGCTGTAAATCCTCAAATTATGGGTTAATTGGGTAAAGCTGATGGCTGGTGATAGTAGATAGATAAAATGGTTTTGTCATGATTGCAACAATAACAGACAATCATGTACCTGTCATTGCTTTTTAATTAACTGACCCATCAGATTTAGTCCTGTGTTTCCCAAGTCTGGTAAACTGAGGTGGGTTAAATTGCAGGTTTATTGTACAGGTATTTTAAAATAAAATATGGTTTGTAATATCTTTTCTAAGAGTTTTCAAACTGGTTTTCCTTATTCAAGACTACAAATACTTCAACATGGCAAACATGCTATAAATTATCTTTTCAAACTACTATTCATTCTACCCCAAGAGAAAGTTTGGAAATTTATCTGTTGTAATTAGATTTCATACCTATTCTAAATATGTTATGTATATAACTGCTACACACTACTTACCAAACATTCTCACACAGTTTACACTATGCTCTTATATATAGTGCTATATTTTACAAATACAATAAAAAATGTTCAACACCCAAAATTAAAAGTGCTGTCAGAGTTAATTAAAAAAATTAAATTGTGTAATGAAACCAAAAACAAATTTTCCCATCAGTATTTACTGAGATATGAAGGCATGAAGCTAAAGGATACTGACCTGATGATGGCAACATTGGCAGTTGCCAAATGCTTTTTATTATTTTACCAATTTTTGTCCTTTTCTTCTTAGTTTTTCTAATTTTTCATATTTTACAGTAACTGTTATAACCTATGATATCTGCATCATGCCCAATGTCCATATGGTTAGCCTTCGAATACTTCCACTAACAGTGCCAACAGTATGCTGTTTACAACACAAAAACACACGTCCAACAGCTCATATATTACTGTTCTTATATACAGTGGTCCCTCGACAATCATCGGGCTTGATAGTCGTCCTTTTCGGAAATTGTCGCGTTATTTTCGTCCAAACATTGGCTCGCAAATGGTCAGTTGACTCGTTAATCGTCGTTCGTCCTGGACGCGTACTCACTGCTCTGAGCCGCCTCGGCCTCCCTTCCCAGCCAATGTGCCATTGTTTACCAGTGAGCGATGGTCCCCTCACTTGTTCATACGAAATATTTAGTAATATTCCATTCATTTTAGTGCTTGCAAGTGCTAAATAAGCTACCATGGCTCCAAAGAAACCTCCTAGTGCCAAGCCTATGGTGAAGAAGGTGAGAAATATGACTGAATTTAAGAAAAACATAATTGAACAATATGAAAGTGGCATACGTGTGGCCGAACTGGCCAGGAAGTATAATAAATCCCGTACAACCATATCTTCCATTGTAGCCAAGAAAAAGGAAATCAAGGAAGCTGTTGTTGCAAAGGGGGTAAATATGCTGACAAAAATGAGATCACCAGTACTTGAATAGGTTGAGAAGTTATTATTGGTGTGGATAAACGAGGAGGAGGAAGGCAGGAGGAGGAGGAAGAGAGATGGAAGAAGGTGCCTTCTTCCTAAATTAAGGAGATTCTTGAAAAGTGGGAGCAGGATGGAAAGATTTATGGGGAAACATCACCCTGAGAAGGATGTTGCAAGCCATATCGGCAACTTGTACAGTGACAGAATCTTGGCCCATTTTAGGGAAGTTTTAAAGAGACGCCAGAAACAGAGCTCTCTGGGCACTTTTTTTGCGAGACAGGACTCCAGTGACTCAAGCTGGTCCTAGTGGCATTAAGAAACAGAAGAGAAGTAACCCCAGAAAAGGACTTGATACCTAAGGTGATGATGGAAGGGGATTCCCCTTCCAAACAGTAACTAATCCAATCTCTCCTCCTCCAGTCTTCCATACACTAAGAAGAATCGCCAATAAAGGTAAGTGTTATGCTGTTAATGTTCATTCATCATGTCCCATTGTATTGTTTATGTACTACATCTATATTTCACGTAAAAAAATTTTTTTATACTTCTGGGTGTCAGAAATGGATTAATTGTATTAACATTATTTCTTATGGGGAAAATTTATTCAAAAATCGTCTTTTTCGATAATCACACTTCCAGGAACGGATTAACGACGATAAACGAGGGACCACTGTATTACAGAAATAGAGTTGATTTTGATTGGTTTCATGATGAAAAGTACCTTGAAATTTAGCTCAAAATAGTGGAAATGTTCAATTTTTGGCGATATTCAAAAGTAAACAAATCAGGCCACGATTCCAATACACGTCAATTGGTGAGTAATATTCTTTCACAAGTGTGTTAATATTATTTATACTATTTTTACAATAATGCAGTAGTCTGCATAACAGTAAATCTTCTATTTTTTGTGTGAATAAAAGTTCAGAAAGGAGGGACCTGGAGACGTGACTAATGAACAGTTATTTTAATGCCAGGAATGTCTGTCTGGCTTATTCTGGACCTTATTTTGAAATTAGTGTTTTTTGAAATTTGGTTGAAATTGGCCAAATAGCCAATTTCTGAACACTTTATTGGGTAGTTGAAGTAAGTAAATAGGTGGTTTCTTGTACTCAATCAATAAAACAAATGGAGTTCTAGCAAAATAGCTATTATTTAAGTCAACTGAAATAAGAGAATTGGCTGAAAATAGGGCTCAGAGGGTGAAAATAGCCAATGCCTAAATATTGCCGATATCGCTAACTTTGTGAGAGGATGATTTCCTAAGTTTTCCATTAAATTAAATATTTTTGTTGTCATTACCATCAGAAAAACTATTCTCTAACATTTCATAAGTCTTTTTTTTTTTTTTTTTTTTTTTTTGAAATTTTTTTATCCTGAAATTGAGTTAACCCTTTCAGGGTTTCCGACGTACTAGTACAGCTTATGCACCAGGGTTATTGATGTACTAGTATGCGTAAATTCTAGCACCTTCAAATCTAGCGAGAGAAGGCTGGTAGGCCTACATATGAAAGAATGGGTCTATGTGGTCAGTGTGCACAGTATAAAGAAAAATCCTGCAGCACACAGTACGTAATGAGAAAAGAAAACTTTGATCGTGTTTCTGGTTTTAAACAGTTACTTTTACTGTATTTTCGTATGGTATTTATGGTTGTATTCTAGTTTTCTTGGTCTCATTTTACAGAATGGATGACATATTACAGAAATTGAGATGATTTTGATTGGTTTCATAATGAAAAGTACCTAGAAATTGAGCTCAAAGTAGCAGAAATGTTCGATTTTTGCCAAAGCTCAAAAGTAAACAAATCATGCCACTTGTCCAATACACATCAACTGGTGAGTCTAATATTCTTTCACAAGTGCGCTGATATTATTTATACCATTTCTACACTAATGCTGTAGTCCGCATAACAGTAAATCTTCTATTTTTTGTGAGAAAAATTCGAAGTGGAAAGCAAAAGAAATATAAGAGGGGCCTGGGGACGTGACTAATGAACAGAGGAAATTTTCGACCGAGAACGAGTTTAGAAGAGGTCCTCTCGACCCCGAAAGGGTTAAGAATCAGGGGTCTCAAACCTCAAAGGGTTAATACATGGGACATTTCCCCATCGAGAGCTAGTCCATGAAAAAAATACAAAATTCGTTTCATCTTTTTTTAATATCAATTATTTATGGAAAGAGGGAACAATGTGCCCTTCATTTCTTTGGAAAAGAAAATCCTAACAAATATCAGCCTTTGAGAAACACAGGCAAGTAAAGCAAAGTACGTACTGTACTATAAATACTGTCCAGTACTAAACCTAAATAAATCATACCAACTTCTACTTATCTTAAATATTCAGGAGATGCCATGAAAAAAAAAAAAACAGTAATCCAGTAGTGTAAACCAGTTAACAGGATTTTGTTTCCCACTCTTAATACAGATGGTAGTATCTTCTTGGATGTTAGCAATACAGTACAAACCTACTACTAGATATGATGAATAATTTAATCAGATAAATCATACCCTACATTTTCTTTTGTGAACAAAAATTACATGAGCACTAAACTAAAAACTGACTTCTAAATAAAATCTGCACGTTAATAAAAATATGCTGATGAAGCACACATTAAGATTTGACTGTGTGTGTATATAATTTATCTTCTAGCACCACCTGTCTCCCACCAAGACAGGGTGACCAAGAACAGAAAATACTTTCACCATTATGCACACCATAGCTGCTTTATGAGAAGGAAATATTCACGGCCTAATGTTGACCTTCCAAATTTCAATACTCTTACCACAATATCAAAGAGCAGGCACTAAACTTCCTACCTCCAAATTCCAAACATTTTTCCTCTGAATGTCTTCTAAATACAGTGATCATGCTCATTACTGTCCTCACCTTCAACTAACAAAATTAAAGTATGTATATTAATCCCACTTGCCAATTCAGATATCAACCACTGGATGGAAGATGAGGAGCTGAAAATAACTCAATGTCCTGCAGCCATGCAATAAGTTTAGCATAACAAAAATTCCCTATGAACTAAAAATATGACAAATTATATTTCAATAAATAATAAGAGAGATCAAACTCAGGGCTACTAAATCTAAATTTTGAAGACTACTTATCACGCTATGAAAATATTGCAACTGGTCGTTCGTTTTTAAGCAGCTATGATAGACCCAAACTGAGTTCCCAAACCCACTTATTACAAAATACTCACTCAGGTTTACAGTTTCCTATACTCCCAACTCATGCAAACTGTGAGGATTAAACTCAACTCATTAATCTTAACCTCACGCATTACAACTGTGCCACTGACCTTTCCAAGATAATCTTATCAAACATTGAGATTAACAATATATATATAGTGCTTTTTTTTTTTTTTTAAGTTCTTGAAAAAAATAGGAACAAGAATCATAACCAGTAGTTTTTAGTGCAATGAAAAACAGAAATTAGTAGTGATTGTGGGAGGAAGAGGAGTTACTAAACATCACACAAACTATGTAGCTAGGGATCAAAACAAAAACTCAAGCTCAAAATTCTGGTGCAGGTTCCATATTAGCATTGAACTCACTGGTCAAATTAAGTCTAAAACAGCTATTAATAAGCTTATTTACCTGTTACTGTCCATTCCCCTGAAACATTTAAAAAAGCTGTATGAGCTTGAGAATATTTACAAAATACAACTATGAAAATTCTTTCTAAGTGTGTACTAAAGGAAGTGTGGTGTTGCAGTAAGTAATGGCAAGCAGTGAGTGAACCAGTGAATGGTACTCATGCACTGCATGAAGCAATTTGCTGGACCAAAGCATTTTACTGTCAAAACATGAAGACAATTGGTCCTTGTTTGTAGTTTTGTGTAACCATTATTCGTTTATGATAATTACGCATATATTAAAAGGAAAAATAACCAATAATTTACAACAATTTTAAAGGAGAATAATTAGGCAAATGGAAATTATACTAGACAGGGAACTATCACCCAACTGAACTACAGCAGACCATCGATTAACACGGTAGTTAATTTCCTGAACATTGCAAGACAAAATCGTCTATACAAACTGAAGAACTTGTGGGAAAATAGGGGTACATTCCTTCACCCCAAAAATCGCAAACAAACTTCTTAGACCTACCAATCATTAAAAAATAAAAATATCGTAATTGTAGTTCACTGTCAATATGTACTGTATTATGTTTAATGCATTCCTTAAGACTATAAATGTTACAGAAATATTTCTTACCTTATATTGTGACTGCTAGTACACGTCAATGATTCTGAACAGAGTAGAGAGGGATAAGCAAGTTTATTTAGGCACAGGTACACATAAGTGCAATTATTATACATGGACAAAATACCTAGGATAACCCAAAAAAGTCAAAGTACTGATTTCCACTGGGGTCATACTAGCCAATACCGTAAATACTGAATTACAGAAAATATCCACCTTGATAATAGCCTCAAATTTCAAACGCATGTACAACAAATTTCCAAGAAAGTCCCCAAGACTGTAGGCATACTATTAAAGATACAGTGCTATGTTCCACAATCAGCTCTCCTTGCCCTGTATCACTTACTTATTTACCCCTATCTCACCTATGGAATCTGTGCATGGGGCTCAACAACAATAAATCATCTCAGACCATTAATTACACAGCAAAAGGCTGCAGTCAGAATGATAAATTCCCACTTGAGACAGCACACTCCACCAATATTCAAAAGTCTAAAGTTACTCACCATACAAAACATCCACACTCATTATTGTGCCTACTACATACATAGAACACTAAACTCAGGTATAAACCCTCAAACTTCTCCTTACCAACATTAACAGAACACACGACCATAACACAAGACACAGATCACTCTCTGATGCCCCCCCCCTGTGTCCATCTCACACTATGTAAAAATTCAATGCACATAAAAGGCCCAAAAATTTGGAATTCATTACCAGTGATTACCAAGGAAACACCGTCTGTATATCAATTCAAGACTCTTCTAAAAAAAAAAAAAAAAACCACCTACTCACCCAAAACTAAATAAACAGTATTTAAATTAACTTTACTTACATAGTTAACAAATCACTTTCTACTGCCTCAAAATATCATTACTCACTGTGTAACTCCCCTAGCCTTAGGACCCCATAAATAAATGCTCAAAGATCAATAAATTCTCATATCTAATCTAATGCCAATATTGAATAACTTATATTTCATAAATGTATAACTCAGTTGTATAATGAGAGAAACCTTACCAAACTATGTTGTTATAGCATTACCTAGTAGAATAATCCATTCTCTTGAATGCACTGTAACTCATATAATGACCATATGAACTGTTCCTGCATTACAGATCACTGATTTGATTTGATTAAATCTGATTAATAAATTGTATGACTACATATAGTGAACTGATCATTTTGTTGTATTATTCACTGTAATGTTAAAAAACTATAAAACTACAGTGATTCAAAACTGAAATGTTCAAATTTCATTGTTTAAAATACTCATGATGGTCATTGTGACCATCATGATCATGATTATCATAATCATGATTATCATGATCATGATGATCATTATTAGTCATCATCAATCATAATAATAGTTTAATAGGACATGGTCGCAACCATGATGGTCGCGACCATGATGGTCGCGACCATGATGGTCGCGACCATGATGGTCACGACCATGATGGTCACGATCATGATGGTCATTGTGACCATCATGATCGTGACCATGATCATTGTGACCATCATGATCGTGACCATGATCATTGTGACCATCATGATCATGATTATCATGATCATGATAACCATGATGATCATGATCATGATGGTCATGATGGGCATGGTCATGATGATCATGGTCATGATGATCATGGTCATGATGATCATGGTCATGATCATGGTTCATAGTCATCATGATGGTCACGATGATCATGATGGTCACGATGGTCATGAAGGTCATGGTGATCATGATGGTCATGGTGATCATGATGGTCATGGTGATCATGATGGTCATGGTGATCATGAAGATCATGAAGGTCATGGTGATCATGATGGTCATGGTGATCATGATGGTCATGGTGATCATGATGGTCATGGTGATCATGATGGTCATGGTGATCATGATGGTCATGGTGATCATGGTGGTCATGGTGGTCATGGTGATCATGATGGTCATGGTGATCATGATGGTCATGGTGATCATGATGGTCATGGTGATCATGATGGTCATGGTGATCATGATGGTCATGGTGATCATGATGGTCATGGTGATCATGAAGATCATGGTGATCATGAAGATCATGAAGATCATGAAGGTCATGATGGTCATGATGGTCATGATGATCATGATGGTCATGATGATCATGATCGTCATGATGGTCATGATGGTCATGATGGTCATGATGGTCATGATGGTCATGATGATCATGATGGTCATGATCATGATGGTCATGATGATCATGATGGTCATGATGGTCATGATGATCATGATGGTCATGATGGTCATGATGATCATGATGTATGGTCATGAGATCATGATGATCATGATCATGAGTCATGATGGCATGACATGATGATCATGATGGTCATGATCTGATGATCATGATGTCATGATGATCATGATGTCATGAGTCATGATGATCATGATGTCATGATGATCATGATGGTCATGATGTCATGATGATCATGATGGTCATGATGATCATGTATGATCATGATGGTCATGATGATCATGATGGTCATGATGTCATGATGCATGATGATCATGATGGCATGATGTCATATGATGATCATGATGATCATGATGGTCATGATGATCATGATGGTCATGATGATATCATGAATGATCATGATGGTCATGATGATCATGATGGTCATGATGATCATATGATGGATCATGATGGTCATGATGTCATGATGGTCATGATGTCATGATGGTCATGATGATCATGAGTAGATCATGATGATCATGATGTCATGATGGTCATGATGATCATGATGGTCAATGTCATGAGTCATGATGATCATGATGTAGAGTCATGATGTCATGATGTCATGATGGTCAATGATGATCATGATGATCATGATGGTCATGATGATCATGATGTCATGATGGTCATGATGGATCATGATGGTCATGATGTCATGATGAGTCATGAGATCTGGTCATGATGATCATGAATGGTCATGATGATCATGATGGTCATGATGATCATGATGGTCATGATGATCATGATGGTCATGATGATCATGATGGTCATGATGATCATGATGGTCATGATGGTCATGATGGTCATGATGGTCATGATGGTCATGATGATCATGATGGTCATGATGATCATGATGGTCATGATGATCATGATGGTCATGATGATCATGATGGTCATGGTCATGATGATCATGGTCATGATGATCATGGTCATGATGATCATGGTCATGATGATCATGGTCATGATGATCATGGTCATGATGATAACCATGATCATGATGGGTTGAAAGTTGTGACAGCCCCAGGGCCATCGTATCTCTCACTGCTGTGAAATTAACTACCAGAATGCTTTCACATACATAAAGTATTTAATACGCATTAATAAATTTATTACAATAAAGGAATGTAATAAAATTATCATTTTTCTCTGCATTTTCAACAAAACTATCAATGTACAAGAAGAGTGGGTGGGATGTTTTTAGACTTAGTTCTTAGCACCAACACCTAACCCTCACACACACCCTAGTTTCTTTACTACAATATACAAGTGTACCAACTAAACTGATGCACAAATTGTATACATGAAGTAGCTACTGTATACACATCCAGGTTACTTTCATTTTTTAACCTTTATAATGTAAAGGAAGATAAGCAGAAGTATATAAACACAAGGAGAGAGAGCCTCTCATGGACAGGCGCAGTTCAGGCCTGCCTTCTCAATTTGTATATTAACATTGTCTCCAGCATTCTCACATTTGAGCACAGATGATGCAAATGATATGAAAACACTGCATGTATTAACTGGTATGCAGGAATCAACTAATTTAATTATAAACACAGATCTAAGAATCGTACAAGACACGTATATACGGACCAATGAGACAAGAGGTGGGACAGGAGGAGGCAGGGGAGAAAGCTAGGCCTCCCCTACAAAGACAATGACCTGCCCCACAGGCAGGCTGCCCATGAGCCCACTAGATGGAGGGAAAAAATCCCATAGTCCAGCTCGTGACACTCAAAATTTTGCCCCTAGAAGTGGCACCATGCCAGTTGAATTTTACGGAGTGTTCATTAAAAATTTGCCACAATTTTGCAAGTGAAATAGAGAAAACATGTTAAAGAACCTTATGTTAATCAATGATCTACTGTAGTATTTTAAATAGTACAGCAACAAGTATTGAAGAGATTTTCCTAGTCAAACAAAAACCATTCATGCCACTCACTTTTGCTCTAAATAATCAAAGTCGTGTAAGTAGAGCTCTCGAGTATCGTGTGAGAGGTAGATGGTGTCGACATCCCACGCTACTTCTTCTCTATATGGTAGTGCATGGTAGTCGCACATACACATGTACTGAGTAGAGAAGCCGCCGCATGGTCCCATGTCTCTAGTCCCTCCCAGTGTTGCTCGTTCCAGCTCCTCTAGCTGCTGCATCCGCTTAGAAGGCTGGATGTCCACTTTGCGGATGATGTGTCTGTACGGAAATATGAAGTACAGTATAACTGTGCACTTATGATATACAGTATTTATTTTCATACAAAGTTCTTCTTACAACAACAGTTCCAATTTACTGATAGTAAAATAATATTTCAAGAATATGCTAAGAATTTTTTTACCTTTCAGCAAAGCAGAATAATAATCTTTGTTACAACCATTATATACCCTTATAATGCTATAATCTAAAAGTAAGATTTAATCTCCCTCTCCCACCCTCCATCTATAATATACCCTGAGGAGTTTTCTGTAAATGCTAATACTGTAAAATACAACCCCATAATATGCAGCAAGTAAGTTTCTGGAGCTGATGTGAATCCCGTAACCACAGATTATAGAAAAAATTCACTTGTAATGAAAAATTACAAAAAAGTTTAAGCATACTTCTTAAAATAAAGAGTGAGCCCATTTATAAAGAACAAAAAGGCACAATACCATGACTGGAATAATATATAAACAGCCAGTACATAGAGTGGAGCATACGCCGATGTTTTGGTCTCCTCTCTCCTACATGCAGGTTATTAGTGTATAGCCCATTTACAATGGAATCTTATGAGTAGTTTTTATTTTAGAGATTTTTGCTAGAGAAAAAAAAAAATTAAATATGGAAAAGCATGAATATGAGTAGGGATCTACAAAATGGTAAACAAAAACTCTGTATGATAAAATCAAGTGAACTACGAATTCTCTGGCAAAACAGTATATATTATTCCTTCTTGGTTATAAGAACATAAGAACATAAGAAAGGAACACTGCAGCAGGCCTGTTGGCCCATACTAGGCAGGTCCTTTACAATTCATCCCACTAACAAACATTTGACCAACCCAATTTTCAATGCTACCCAAGAAATAAGCTCTGATGTGCAAGTCCCACTCAAATCCAACCCCTCCCACTCATGTACTTATCCAACCTAAATTTGAAACTACCCAAAGTCCTAGCCTCAATAATCCAACTAGGTAGACTGTTCCACTCATCAACTACCCTATTTCCAAACCAATATTTTCCTATGTCCTTTCTAAATCTAAACTTATCTAATTTAAATCCATTACTGTGGGTTCTCTCATGGAGAGATATCCTCAAGACCTTGTTAATATCCCCTTTATTAATACCTATCTTCCACTTATACACTTCGATCAGGTCTCCCCTCATTCTTCGTCTAACAAGTGAATGTAACTTAAGAGTCTTCAATCTTTCTTCATAAGGAAGATTTCTAATGCTATGTATATGCATGTTCCAATGTTTTAATCAAATCTCCCTTATTCTTTACAAAGCTTAAGTACTGTACCACAACTTGGCACTTCTTAGCTATGGCTGCAAAAGCCACAAAAATTAACCAAACTTTCAACCACAAATTGAGTATACCTGTGACCAGTTTTGAGGGTTCTTTTAACATAACCTGGAGCCAGGCTTCCCTGCCAACACTTGGGCATCCAGGTTATCTGTGCTAGAGGCCTGCAGGCCCAATCATAATCCAGCTGATCAGACGCTTGCACGATCAGCTGGATACACATTAGGTTCGATTTCCTATTGAAAACTTTTAACCCTTGTTCTGACATTGATTTTAATATCATAAATCTTACCACAGTTAATGTCCCTTCATGTGTAAAAGACTCATCAATGATGCAAAATATGTCAGAGTCAAGAGGTATAAAAAATTTACAGTAAAGAAAAAATTAGGTTAAATTTAACTTCCCGACTAATTCGAGTAGAGATTTTAATACAGTTCTTCAACAAGGTTACTCCCATATTCTCACGGAGAATAACTCCTCTTCACTACAGAAGTTTCTCCATCTTATCTCCTTTAACTACAAAATACTGAAAGTAATCAATGAAACGAGTGGAAACTTACGTGAGAGGGACAGCTGGGAATATATTTTTGAGTGCGGTACCAAGACTGAGCACCATGGTGTCCACCTCATGACTACTGTTGTCTTCGTGTGTTGTGTAATAGGTGTACACCCGGTCACAAACTGTCAAACACAACTGAAAAGTAAAGTAACAACTTAGAAAACAGTTCCCTAAACACTCTGACATTCACTACACATTAATTAAGAATTAATTAAAATACAGAGGACCCTCGGTTATTGGCCAGTTTTTCAGATCCTGATTATCGGCTGTTATTTTGCTTATCAGCCGTATGGTACGTGTCAACCTGCCACCGCCAGCCGCGAATACATCAGTCTGGCTTTGTCTCTGGGTGAGTGAGGAAGTTTCTGCTCATTCATCCAAATATTTTGCTATACATGTAATTCATTGATTTTTTGTGGTTATCAATTAAGTGCAACTGGGATATAAGTAACCAGGCCCCAAAGAAAGTTCCAAGTTAAGTTCGTTTGGAAAGAAAGTGAGAAACACGATGGAATTTAAGAAAGATGATGAAAAGTGGAGTTAGAGTGCTAGAAGTTGCCAGGATGTATGGGAAAAACAAATCAACAATCACTACTATCCTGGCAAAGAAAGAACAAATCAAGGAAGCTGATGTGGCAAAAGGAGTAAATGTGCAAACCAAACAAAGGTCACTGATAATGGAAGATATGGAGAAGTTGTTGGTTTTGTGGATCACCGAAAAACAATCAGTGGGAGATAGTGTTGTGGAGTCAACTTGTGAGAAGGCAAGGCAGTTGCATGCAGATCTTGTGAAGAAAATGCCTGGAACAAGTGCTGCTGTTTGTGAATTTAGGGCCAGCAAAGGCTGGTTTGAGAGATTTAAGAAGCGTAGTGGCATACACACTGTGGTAAGGTATGGTGAGGCTGCAAGTTCTGACAAATGTGCAGCTGAAAAATCTGTGCAGGAATTCAAGGGGTATGTAGAGGCTGAAGGACTCCTCCCCCAACAAGTGTTCAATTGTGACGAAACAGGCCTCTTTTCGAAGAAAATCAAAGAGGACCTACATTACGCAGGAGGAAAAAGCACTATCAGGACACAAGCCTATGAAAGACAGGCTTACTCTTGTTCTGTGCTAACGCTAGTGGAGATTTCGGAGTGAAACCTTTACTGGCCTATCACTCTGAAAATCCCAGTGTGTTCAAGAAAAACAATGTCATCAAGAATAGAATGTGTGTGATGTGGAAAGCTAATATTAAAGCATGGGTCACAAGGCACATTTTCAAAGAGTGGGTTAATGATGTGCTTGGCCCCAGTGTGAAAAACACCTACTGGAAAAGAAATTGCCACTTAAGTGCCTCCTGGTACTTAATGTTCCTGCAGTCTCATCCTTCAGACTTGGAAGACCAATTGTTTAGGGACTTTTGTTTTATAACAGTGAAGTTCTTGCTTCCTAACACCACTCCTCTCATCCAGCCCATGGACCAGCAGGTCATTTCTATCTTCAATAAACTCTACACAAAAGCAGTGTTTCAAAGGTGCTTTGAAGTGACCTCAGACACTCATTTGACCCTAAGAGAGTTCTGGAGGAATCACTTCAGCATCCTCCATTGCATAAGGTAAGGCTTGAGAGGGAGTGACTTCCAGGACTTTGAACTCCGCTTGGAGAAAATTGTGGCCAGAGTGTATCCAAGAGAGGGATTTTGAAGGGTTTGGGACTGACCCTGAGGACCCTACGCCTGTTGTGCAATCTACTGAGGCACTGGGGAAGCCCCTGGGGCCAGATGCGAGTGGCAAGGATGTGGAAGAGTTGGTGGAGGACCACAGGGAAGAGCTAACCACTGAAGGGCTGCATGACCTTCAACTGGAACAGGCAACAGACTGCAGCTGAGGAAATTGTTTCAGAGGAGGAGGAATAGAGATGGAAGGAGGTGCCTTCTTCAGTGATTAAGGACGTGTGTGCAAAGTGGAACGAGCTGCAATGTTTTGTTGAAAAGTATCACCCTGACCAAGTTGAAACAAGCCATATCTGCAACATGTTCAGTGACAAAACCTTGTCCCACTTCAGGGAAACCTTAAAGAGATGCCAGAAACAGAGCATTCTGGATAGTTACTTTGTGCGACAGGGGTCCAGTGACTCAAGCTGGTCCAAGTGGCATTAACCCTTTCAGGGTCGAGAGGCCCTCTCCTAAACTCGTTCTCAGGGTCGAAAATTTTTCAGAAATTAAAAAAAAAAAATTCTTATGAAATGATAGAGAATCTTTTCCCCATCATAATGACACCAAAAGTATGAAATTTTATGGAAAACTTACAGAATTATGCTTTCACAAACTTAGCAGTCTCGACGCATCAGCAATTTTGCCCGCTTTGAGCCCTATTTTCGGCCAATTCCAGTGTACTAGTCAACGAAAATCATATCTATTTTGCTAGAACTCCATTTTTTCTATCAAATGAGTACAAGAAACCACCCATTTCCCGATTTCAACCATCCAATAAAGTGGACAGAAATTGGCAATTTTGCCAATTTCACACAAATTTCAGAAGATGCCAATTTCCAAATAGGGTCCAGAATAAACAAGACCGACATTCCTGGCACTAAAATAACATTTTCTCTGTTCATTAGTCATGTCCCCAGGCTCCTCTTACATCTCTTTTGCTTCCCACTGACTTTTTATTCTCAGAAAAAAAATAGAATATTTACTGTTATGCAGACCATACCATGGGCGGGGATAGAACCCACGATCAGAGTCTCAAAACTCCAGACCGTCGCGTTAGCCACTGGACCAGCTGGCCACAATAAGATTCGTCCAATTAGGTGTATTTCTACACCATACACCTGGAGATTTGTCTGTAAAAACTTGTATTTGTGGTCACAGTGGTACCTATGCTAACCTTTCTATGGTGTAGAAATATACCTAGTTGGACGAATTGTATTGTGGCTAGCTGGTCCAGTGGTTAACGCGAAAGTCTGGAGTTTTGAGACTCTCTGGTCGCGGGTTCTATCCCCGCCCGTGGTATGGTTTGTTTGCAATCGTGTCATTACGATTTCCTGAGTACTGTTATGCAGACAACTGCATTAGTGTAGAAATGGTATAAATAGTATCAGCACACTTGTGAAAGAATATTAGACTCACCAGTTGATGTGTATTGGACGCTTGGCATGATTTGTTTACTTTTGAGCTTTGGTAAAAATCTAACATTTCTGCTACTTTGAGCTCAATTTCAAGGTACTTTTCATTATGAAACCAATCAAAATCATCTCAATTTCTGTAAAATGTCTTCCATTCTATAAAATGAGACCAGGAAAACTAAAATACAACCATAAATACCATACGAAAATACACTGCAAAGCCGCTGTTTTAAACCAAAAACATGGTTGGAGTTTTTTTTTTCTCATTACGCACTGTGTACTGCAGGAGTTTTTTTTTATACTGTGCACACTGACCACAGACCCATTCTTTCATATGTAGGCCTACCAGCTTTCTCTCACTAGATTTGAAGGCGCTAGAATTTAGGCGTACTATTAGCACATCAATAACCCTGGTGCGTAAGCCGTACTAGTACGTCAGAAATCCTGAAAGGGTTAAAAGACAAAGAAGGGAAGTAACCCCCAGAGAGGGATGCATTACCTTAACCCTTTGACTGTTTTGGTCGTATATATACGTCTTACGCGCCACTGTTTCGGACATATTTATTCGTGTAAATTCTAGCGGATTCAAATCAAGCAGGAGAAAGCTGTAGACCCATGTGTGAGAGAATGGGTCTGTGTGGTCAGTGTGCACCACATAAAAAATATCCTGCAGCATGCAGTGCATATTGAGAAAAACAAAACCCTGACCGTTTTTTTGGATTAAAACACCGACTTTGAGGTGTATTTTTGTGTAGTATTTATCGTTGTATTCTCGTTTTCATGGTCTCACGTGATAAAATGGAAAACATATTACAGAAATAGAGACGATTTTGATTAGTTTCACCATGAAAACGACCTTAAAACTGAGCTCAAAATAGCGGAAATGTTTGATTTTTAGCAATGTCCATGAGTAAGCAAATCACATCATACGTCCAATACATGTTAACTGGGGAGTCTAATATTCTTTCACTAGTGCACTATTATTATTTATACCATTTTTACAATAATGCAGTAGTCTGCATAACAGTAAATTTTGTATTTTTTGTATGAATAAAAAATCGAAATAGAAAGCAATAGTAATATAAGAGACGTGTCTAATGAACAGAGGATATGTTATTTTAGTGCCAAGAATGTCTACATTGTTTATTCTAGACCCTACTTTGAAATTGGCATCTTTTTTAATTTGCGTGAAACTGGCCAAATTGCCAATTTCTGACCACTTTATTGGGTAGTTCAAATCGGTAAATGGGCTGTTTCTTGTACTCAACTGATAGAAAAAATGGAGTTCTAAAGAAATAGCCAAGTTTGGTCAAATGAAACAACGGAACTGGCCAAAAACAGGGCTCAAAGTCGACGAAATTGCCGATGCGTGTGTCGCCGAGATCGCTAACTTCACGGGAGTGTAATTCCGCAAGTTTTCAGCCAAATTTCATACTTTTGGCGTCATTACCATCGGGAAAAGATTCTCTATCATTTCCAAAGAAAAAAAGAAAATTTTTTTTTTCCCAAAAATTTTGTGACATGGAATGACAGTTTCAGAAAGGGGCTTGCGACAGTCAAAGGGTCAAGTCCTTATGGAGGGGGATACCCCTTCCAAACAATAACCCCAACATCTCTCCTCCTCCCTATCTTCCATAAGACAACAAGTGTCTTCAAAAAAGGTATGTAATAGTGATTTAATTGCTCATGTATTTATTTCATTTAGTTCTCATTCTTTTGTGCATGTAAAACTATAATTAATCTTCAAAAATGTATTTTTTGTTAATATTTTTGGGTGTCTGGAATGAATTAATTGTATTTACTTTAATTCTAATGGGAAATATTTCAATTTTTGGCCATTTCGGTTTTAGGCCAACCTTCTGGAACGGATTACGGCTGATAACTGAGGGTCCACTGTATAAAAACTCAGATTTCATTCACCAATACTGTGCCTAAAATTATTTATTAAATTCTTTAGTAATACTGTATATCATCACAGTATATTTCTTGTGGTCAGGCAACATCCTCTCAAAAAAAATCTTTGGAAAT